CTCTCTCTCTCTCTCTCTCTCTCTCTCTCTCTCTCTCTCTCACACACACACACACACACACACACACACACACACACACACACACACACACACCAGTGTGGCAATTTATATTTCCATGTTCGCATTAGATTCATTCGATTTTGCTCGTCCTATCACACACACAAACAAACTCGGAGAGAAGAGAATGACATGCACACAAAGCAGAGGAACAACGGGTTCAAAATCTAATTCAAATTTCAAGCGCCTCACTGCGGCAGGGCCGCAGGGGCAGTACAGGAAGGTACCTGCCCTTTATGAGGGCATATGGCGCAGGTGCCGATGGAATGGGACCGCCAGTTGAAGGGGGGCGTCCTGGACAGATGTGCCCACTCCTGACAGGGGCCTGGCCAAAAGATTTTTAGGCCCAGGGCTGCGACAGGGTAAATCAGCTGTCGGAGGGGCGCGACGCAAAATGATGGAAAATACAGGGGCGGCAGATAAAATTTCCCCAAAATAAAAGTTTCTCTGTGACTATACTGTCACTGAATGATAAGTGAACACAAAATTGCTGTGTGTTCTGGGACGAGGTCCTTCTTGCAAAGAGGATATGATTTAGGGTCAGATCCCACTACCCTGGATTATTCATTTTTCACCCTCGATTACGAAGATCAACGGTCAGAAATGAACAATAGGGGCTAGTGGGATCTGGCCCTTAGCGTCTGAATCTGCTAGATGTGTTTCATCCAGAGATGCAAAAAAGTAGATCAATCCTGATTCTTTGCACCTCTCCACAAGCACGTCCAGTTTCAGTTGTTCAATCCCAATCAGAGATGCAAAAAAGCAGATAAATCCTTATTCTTTGCACCTCTCCACAAGCACGTCCAGATGCAGCCGTTCAATCCCAATACTCCTCCCTAGCGGGGCCTTTCGCCCCCGGGATAGATCTGAGATCAATCCTTGTTCTTTGCACCTCTCCACAAGCACGTCCAGACTCGGCCGTTCGATCCCAGTCCTCCTTGCTAGCAGGGCGTTTCCCCCCCGGGATAGGTCTTCGTGTCGACAACGCCATACCACAAAGCACGGTAGGTAAGGGAGAAAAAAAAGAAAAAAGAAAAAAAAAAACACAAAGCACGGTATGTAAGGGAGAGGGAAAAAAAAAGAAAAAAAAAGTACGCTAATAAGTTAATAACGCTTTTTTTTTTTCTTTTTTTTCAACCCTATGTGCTTTATTCCATGACTAAGGGCCCAGCCCCACTGCTACTAAGTCTATGACTCTATGTAAGCTAAGAATGAACATGCCCATGATTGCAATCAGCTTGAACCCCACTGGCCAGCAGCTGGAAAAGGTACTGGGCCGCCAGTTTGTGGCCAACATCGGTGGAAAGTAATTGGCACATTTCTACGCCACCACAGCACCGATTTCTGGCGGGGTTTTGGAAGCCCGAGAAGGGCACCTCCCGAAAATGAAACTACGGACAGCCTGCATGGACCAGCGGACCACCAACGGCCAGTTTAGACGAGTCTACAACACACACTTCATTAGTGCCTTTTCGGCCTAGACCAAAAGTATGTCCGCGATGCCCATTTGTTGTACCATACCATACCTCGCCGGCCTCCGATGCCAACGGTTGCCACTTTGCACTACCTACCCTACCCTGCTGGAGGACATTTTGGAAAAGGACCGCCGGTTTCTGGCGGAGGGTTTCCAGCCGCCAGCCATGTTTTTAGAATGCCAGTGGGGTCCGAAATCGGCCTTCCACGCCAAGACTTTTCCAGCGGCCGCCCAGTGGGGTCCAAGCCTAAGACCCCAAGACTGTTCCACGCCATTCATGACATCTTCATGACATCTGATCGCATCTGTAGATCTGAACATGGTCCTGGTTTTTTTTTTTTTTGTTGTTCTTCTTTTTGGGCCTGTATTTCGACAGTGGTAAGCTGGGGATTGTTTCCTCATGGATGAATGCAACCGTTACAGTATACCCCTACCGGGTACCATCCAACCTTGCAAAATGCCCCTGGTGGCCTAGGAGAAGCCTCAGTATCAGGGGCGAGGTCCCACGAGCAACGGGATAGGATAGAAACGAGTTTGTGGGACAGTTGAGTGACCCAAATCCTGCCGTGCACTACTCATGATCCCACCGTCAGTATTTTACATGTATTGCCCGAAAAAGTAAGGAGATCTTCGTTCCCCTCCTCCTCTCCTTAACACTGGGCATGCCCGTGCAAAGACAGCTTCCCGCCAGAATCTTTTCAATCGGTTGGGAGTGTGCCCAACCCCAAACGAGGTTGGGGTCGGCATTAGCCCACTGGATAGAAGATTTTCGGCATTTTACTTGCTGTAGTGCAATTATCTCATTGGGTGGAGCCCTCCTTCAATCACGGAGTATATGGAGGGTGTCAGGATCACTGCTTTCAGAAGTCGAGTTTATTCCAGAAAATGTGGCGGTTACTTTGTTCACTGTTTTTGCAACCACCACCATCAGATCATTTGTGATCTGATGGCTGGGAAGCACACTGCTGTGATTTCGGGTGGGAGGTCTCTGTTTCTTCTTTTTTTTTTGGCCTTTTTCCTGTTTTCTCAGCCCAGAAATTCATGATGAACTTGTCACACTGGATCGGGCACACTCCTATCCGACTGCTAATGGGACCTCGCCCCAGGGACGTGCAGGAGCTCTCAGGGTGAAAAAAAAATGAAAAAGGGATAATTTGCAAAATGCCCTCATAAGTGGAGATATATGCCAAAATGCCCTCAAAGATGTGGGTAGAGCGGAATGCCCCCATGACAAAGAAAATATTTTGTGAAATACCCCGGCGTCAGTTAGACCCAATCTTTGCAGTATACCCCTACCGGGTACCATCCAACTTTGGAAAATGCCCCACTACTTGCCACCTTCTCCTAGGCGCCATTGCAAATGCCAAGGCCCAAACGGGGAGGTCCAAATTGCAAAGTTGCACACTCACCGGACAGGGGCAGAACACAAAGATTTGGGCCCAAAAGGGCACTCCGCTCTACCCACATCTTTCAGGGGCATTTTGGCATATATCTCAACTTATGAGGGCAGTTTCCAGACTATCCCTAATAAAAATAATAAAATAATTTTGAAAAAAGAAAGCTTTCGGTGGGGGCAAAAGGAAAAAAATAAAATAAAAAAAATTCATATCGTGAGCAGATGACAGTCGCATCACTTTCCTGCTTGGGGCCTCGCTCCACTGGACCACATCCGACACGCATTTGGACTGTTACATTCAACAGCATCTCACATTTCGAATGTACAGGGATGAGAACGTCGTCAACATACATTTACACTGTTGTGCAGTGGGACGAGGAACTTTGTCCACTATAGAGACGAATCTCATCATGGCTTCGTTCGGTCAGGAAGTTGCCAGGAACCATCCTCGGTGATGTCCTGACGCCTGGCTGGCTCAGGTCTTAGGTGTTCTCTCTCTCTCTCTCTCTCTCTCTCTCTCTCTCTCTCTCTCTCTCTCTCTCTCTCTCTCTCTTAC